TCTGTGCACAGGGTGGAGTAACACTATGGATGGTGGTGTATGCTCTGTGCACAGGGTGGAGCAGCACTATGGACAGGGTGATGTATGCTCTGTGAACAGGGTGGAGCAGCACTATGGACAGGGTGATGTATGCTCTGTGCACAGGGTGGAGCAGCACTATGGACAGGGTGATGTATGCTGTGTGAACAGGGTGGAGCAGCACTATGGATGGTGATGTATGCTGTGTGAACAGGGTGGAGCAGCACTATGGATGGTGGTGTATGCTCTGTGCACAGGGTAGAGTATATCTAGGCTGTGTGACCAATTGATTTCACACCTCTAATGAATTACTTTTATTTGGAGGACTTGCGCTTATGAAAAGAGCCCCAGATACCAGCAGCAAAGTGTGCTAAGCACTTAATTGGCACGTTTAGGCTGAGCTCACTTAGCAGATCTTGCCAGGACCCCCCCCCAACACGTGTCTCAGCCACGTGATGTCAACGTCTCCAGCAAGAGGCAGCAGAAGCTGAAGTGCCAGTATGAGGCGCTGTTCCACTGTGTCACTAAACACACGTTTCACGTCACATATAATTTGTCTCCAGCGGTGTGACGGATCATCAGGTAATGGCCGTCTTCCCGGGCGCAGGGCGGCCCGCGTGGCGTAGGCCCTGATTACCGCCGGGTGTCTTACACAGGTGCGAGGGAGTTGCCGTTTATTGTGACACCGGGAGCTGAGGGTCCTCAGCCATTCGGGGTGCCTGTTACGTGCCTGCAGGGCCCATCAGCCACCAGACGTGAGCGACTCCCTGCTGGGGGAGGTGCATAGCCTAGCAGGTGCTAAGAATGGCTCCCCAGTCGAAATCTCCCCTCCTGCCACTTGGATTAGCATCATCGCTTCTGCAATGTTATATATACGCCCAGTGGATGTATTTCTGTAAAGAACATTACATAGTTTGAGCACTTTGTTTGTTTGTTTTTATTTCTGTCCACTTTCGACCCCTGTAATCGCTCTTTCGCTCTCTGGTACCAGTTTTTTTAAAATCTCTTGACCACCTGCACCCTCCGCTGACCATTGTTCTTGACAGCACAGCTGGTCATTGTCTCTCTCTTTCTCTCTCTCCCTCTCTCTCTCTCTACCTGGTGACAGGTCAGCTAACTGGCTGTGTTTCCGAAGGGTCATAAAATGGATTTAACGTGCTTCTGGAGAACATCTAACATTAGTCTGTGCTGTACGTTACGATTGGGGGCATGCAGAGAGGGGGAGCTCCCAGACCATAATAGAATAGAAATGGATTATCTTTCTGCGGGGGGGGGGCAGGAAAGGCCCGGGCCAGCTGTTGCGTTACCCTGGCACTCCGGCTCCACAGATGTGTAACATTCCTGGCTTAACATGCCACCTTGTGGCTCTGTGGGTGGGGGGGGGGCAGCATTACATCAGTGCGATGGAGGCTAAATGTCAGGTTGCAGCACTGCCTGGCTGGTCCCCGTCGGGCCGGCCCCCACCACAATGACCCGGGGTGTAAACGTTAATGCACTTTACACGTCGGTGGTGTGAAACTGCCTATTACCGTCTCGGAGAGCGCACAGCGTCGTCACCTTAGTCACAAGTCATTTTTCTGGAGAATGAGGTGTGAATTGGATTGGGGACAGGTCTGTAGATAACATGGGGCTCATGCAGGAGTCAGGAAAACCGTTCTAAAGTAGGGACGCATCAGACGCCCCCCCGCCCACCCCACCACTCGTGAATGTGTGACGTCGTGCGTCCGAGTAGAGACGCTCGTCCAGGAGTAGCTTCTCAGGGTCCTAACTTGCTTGCGGTCGCTCTACTGCTGCAGTTAAGGGCCTATATTCAGATCGCAGGTGCCAGTCCGTCACGGGGCTAAGGCAGGGTGCACAGAGGGCGGGATTTGAACCCATGACCTCTTCTACCGAATGTGGCATCTGTATGAAGCAGCTGACAGGTTAAAAATCTGACCATACATGGAGCAGCGTGGGAGGTGTAACGGGAGACAAATGGCCCACTCCTCTGGGAAGGGGCAGCATTGGGCTGTTGGAGATTTGGGTTGAGAAAACAATGTTTCTGCTCCCATGCCCTCAGTGGAGGAGCAGAAAGAAAAGGAGTGAAAGTTCTGCACCCCCATCCCCAGTTTCTCCCCCCTCTTGGTGCCTGAAAGCGTGGCCCAGTGAATAGGGCCATTGTCTCTGAGCAAGGGGCAGATTGGGCAGGTGGGGTGAGGGCTTTGTGTGAACGGGTGCTATTCGATGGTTGGGGGGGGCAGTAGCGGAGGTGAGATGGGGGCTGAATGTTTCAGCATAGCTGCAGAGAGTGCAGGCTTGGGCCAGCCGGTGGCATGACGATTAAGGCATTACCCTCATTTAGAATGTCCCCTGGCCCCAATAAGCCATTGGAAAGCTGAAGAGGTGCTGTCACAAGAGGAGGTGTCACAAGAGGAGGTGTCACATGGTTACATTTCAGTCACACAGCTGCTGATACTCAGACATTGCAACTTTAATAATAAACATTTCTGTTCAGCCAAAATCGGTTTTATTTGCCTGCTAGCATGTTTTTATCCATGCGTGTGACAGATTTATCTGTGTATATGAACTTTATTGTGGAAACCTGTCAGAACATATTGGTGGGGGGACACTCCGATGTGCTAAAAATGTATTTTACTTCTGTTTTGCTGGCTGACTTAGTTTGACTAGAGCAAGAAGTGGGAGAGACGGCAGGGCACCTGCTGACATCATGCATGTTTTGCGGGCGGGCTGGGGGGGGGGCACGCAGGCCGATCCTGGCATCTCGTGTGTTGTTCCTCTATTTCCGGCAAAAGTCGCACACGGACGCGGAGTCACAATGCATCCAGAGCAGCAGGAAGTGGATACCTGCATGCACAGGGGGCTGGGGCACGTGGGAGGCATGTAGGTAACGTGGGACACGGATCGCGTGCATGTGGGAATGCATGTAACACGCCAGTGCTTCCTGCCACGGTCGCCATCCATCTGCTTCTGTTGCTCTTATCTTTGCTTTGGTTTTTTTTAATCCTGCAACCCTGCTTTCTTCTCCCACTCTGTCAGCCTGCACTTTCTTCTTGTCTTCCTGACTGCATCTTTATTTGTTACGCTCACCTCTGTTGCACCCCCACCCATTGTGTGTCTACCACCCGCGGCAACACTGAACAGGACAACAATCAGATAAGGGGCAAAAATGCACGTTTCAGTTGGCGTGGGGCTTGTGGGTTGGCCTCTGTGTGAGGCTCTCACCCTGCAAGGTTCTGTGTGCTGCCTTGATTTGAAAACTGACTCCTTGGGGAGGGGGGGGGCTTCAGGGTTACCAGGGTTTGTGAAGATGGGGAAAAAAAATTCAGACTGCATAGAACAGCGATTCAGACTGAATGCCAAAGTATGCTAATTATCCTTTACGCCTTAAAAATGTAAACTGCTGTTGCTATTTTTAATAGATCTTTTATAGCACACTGGTCCCTGTTCAGCCCGCCTACAGAGAGAGCTGGGCGGGTGGAGAGGTTGTTGGGGGTTGTTTCGGTTCGGTTAGTTGCTCTGTATGCGTCACTGATGTTTCCCTCCCTCGTCCCCCCGCAGGTTTGGGGACGACAAAGGCTATGTCCTTTATCCCCAGATCGGGGACCGGCTGGACCTCATCTGCCCGGCGTCAGAGCCGCCCGGCCCGCGGGCCCCACCCGAGTATGAGTACTACAAGCTGTACCTGGTGTCGTCGCGGGAGCAGGCGGACCACTGCGAGGTCACCGGCCCCCCCAACCTGCTGCTCACCTGCGACAAGCCGAACAGCGACATGCGCTTCACCATCAAGTTCCAGGAGTACTCGCCCAACCTGTGGGGGCACGAGTTCAAGACCATGCACGACTACTATATCATCGGTGAGTGATGAAGCCCCCCCACCTTGGGGAGACAAAGCCCCCAGGTGCATAAAGGCCTCTGGTGGGACGGCAGCCCGCTGGGAGCGAAACGAGAATCATTCCTCACATGCCTTGTCCCACACCAGGGGGTGAAATTTAACCTGCAGGAACACAGAGTGTAATGGATAAAAAGCACTAGTGAATACTACCCAAGCCAGCCTGCCCGCTCTTTAAAATTTCACGCCTGGTCATTTTAAAAAGTTTCCAGCTGTGATTGCCCTTAAATACCTGCTCTTAATTGTTTAAACTTATAAATCTGATAAGGTTTTTTTTTTTTCTTTAATTCCTTGAGGCTTCCTGGTCATTCAAGGAAAATTATAATTATATATTTTTACTCTTAATACCAGATTATCTAGTGGCCATAAAGCCTGGTTTGTTTCTCCCAATTGCCCATATATTGTGTATCCTTGGGACAGGTTCTAGGTTCCACCTGACCCTGTATTTGGGAGATTGGTTGTGGAAGTCAGATGGATGAAGTGAGATTTAGCACATGTAGCTGGGGCTGTGATGAATAACAGAATATTGTGGAGAATAATCATCAGGTTTTTGAGGAGGGTGTTGCGTTTCCTTTAGGCTGTCAGAGTATGTTTGCGTTCCAGCCGGCTGGTGGGGTTGGTGTGTGACGGACGCTGCTTTTCGTCCTGCGGGAGGAGATTTCTGCTCCCTAGGTTCGCATGCGGAGTGGCGCCTGGTATCGCCGTCCTGTAACCATCCCGGCCGCTGTCCAGAGCGACCTTGGAGGGTGTCACGGCGATACAGATGGCCTAGGCTGCGGGCGAAGCCCCGATTCGACATGTGCTTATCGCCTCCATAACCGTTTTTGTTAGTTTGAGGCAAGAGCGTTAACAAACGCCCCCGTGAGGAAAAGCGAGAGCGGAAAATTCTCCCAGCGTGCTGATTCTTCACATCCGTGATCAAGTTGACCACAGAAAATGAAGCTAGCTTTAAGCTATACTGCAATTTACTGCAGTAGTTATTCAGGGAAAATTTGTAGAATTACACAGTTGTGCAAAGACTTCTCTCGCTTAATGGTAACGGGCCGGTCCCTCGGCCAGCGCGTGCTGTGAGAGGGGCGGCACATTGATGTTCTCCCCAGACACTGTGCATCCTCCAGCCTGCCAGCCCATAGCTCTTTAGGGGTCTCCCAGGGCAGACCTCTGAGAGGGTCTCCGCAGAAACAGACTCGGGATTTTGCTCGGGGTCGACGTCTCTTCTACAAGATCCATAAACGGTTTCGGTCTCCTGGCAGAGACCAGACAGAACGTCTGGGTACCTGGCAGAGATTGTGATGCTATTGACCTTTAACTGGATCAGCGGATGCAGAGCGGCTCTGCCACAGCAAAGATCCCCTCGCCGCATTTTGTAGCAGGTATGTTTTCGACGCTGAAGCCGGCACTGGTCCGCCGGTCCAGAGAGCCCTGCTTTTATCTCCGTCCAGCTACAGTATCTGGTTCCGCTCCAATCAGCGTTGCCAGTCAGGCACCTCTGCATGCTTAATACCCGTCTGTCACTCCCAGTAACGCCGCCCCTTTGAAACACCTCGTAGGTGTTTGGGTGGTTTCATCCTCAAAAGCTGAAGCTCTGGAAGCTCTGGCCCAGCATGGAGGCAAGATGCACAATATCTGCCCACCGCCGTGCCCCGGGTGCGTTCCGTCCCCTTAATTACTGCCCCAGTAACTATGAGAGGATTATTTATTTATTTGCTACCCACCGCCTGATTTATGAAGGTCACCAGCAGCCTCCCTTCACTCGTCAGCTCCTTGCCTTTCCCCACGGTGATGGATGATGAATGGATCTAGATGCATGTTGCCTCATTTTGATACAACCGCGAAAGAGGACGCTGTGGAAGGACAGCATGCATTTCCTAGCATCTGACAGGGAAGTGGAAATAGGGTTAAAGCGGATTTTTTGTTTTGTTTTATTTATAAATGTCTTTAATTATGTATAGACATTAATTTAGCCTCTTTTATTTAAAATATTGCATTTTCCTGGTGCAGTTTTATTGGTCTTTTGCATATTTATCAGGAGTGGAGATCATTTTGATATTGACAATCCATCTTTTATGCTGTTGAATTTTAATATTACTTTCTACCCTGCAGGCTTTGTAGCCTACTGACTGTGTCCTGCAGGCCTGTAACCCACTGAATGCATCTGAATGCCCAGCTTATATATGGGTAAAAATTAACTGATTCTGAGTGAAGGTATCAGTGAAGCAGCATAATAATAATGTGAACTAGTTTGCATTTGACATTGACAGGAATCCCTGTCAAGGAGCTGCTACTCGTGTTTTCCAGGCCTGCCGGCATGTTTCATATTGCGTCCTGCTTTCTATTAGCCGTGTCTGGATACCATTTTGTTTGTTCCATCGATAACTTCTTGGACCATTTATTTTTTTTTTATTATCAGTTCTCAGACAGACCTTACTAATCGATTGACAGGCAGAACCGATCAGTAAGGATCTGAAATACAAGGTCAGGCAGAGCGAGGGAGTGGGGGACAGTGTGGGAGAGAGGGTAGGACAGGAATGGGAGCGGAAGAGGGGAGCTCACACATTTACAGTGAAGTAAGAAATGAGGCTTTAAACTTGTATTTAAACTATGGCGTTTAACCAGGCTATAAATATAGTGTGTGTGGGTGGTTGAGGGGGGGCATTGCCCAGGGATTGGACCCACATCATCTGGAGGTGTTGTCACTCTCATAGTGGACTCGCACATGCTCCTGCTCGTGCATTTGTGTCCGCGTGTGAAGGGGCTCCCTGTGTGCTTTTGTGTGCGTGAGATCTCTCCCTGTAGGGATAAGGCTTTTAATTAACCTACCTTAGCATTTGTTAATTTATTCAATATGGGTTAAATGAGCTGGAACAGAGATTGATAGAGGAAGGGGAGAGCCCCCCCCTTGCTGATCCCTGCTCCTCCGCGTCGCCGTGCCGACGCACTCTCACATTAACCCTATGGTCATTTACTCAGGAGTTTTGCTCGCCCGGCCTCCAGGCGTGAGATGAAGCCCGTGCCCCGACTCCCTGGGGCGGGACCGTGCCCTGTGCAGAAATAGGTAATCGTGCGGGAAACTGCAGCATGATCGGCGCCGAATGCAACCAAAGTGCGAGACTGAGCAGCACTGACAGATGCACGCATTACTGTCAAGACACTTAGGGAAAAACACTCGTGGTTTATATATCGCATTTCCTGTTTGGGTCAATGCATGCCCTCTGGGAATGTGGCATGTCAATTTATGGCGTGCCCCCGCCCCCCCACAGCACGCTCCTCGCAGTACCGACTCTCAGCACTAGGGAGTGAGATTGAGTCTGGATACCAGAAGCAGGCCACACTGGATCGCAACAGTGATGAGTCTCCAGTGGCAGGGAACACTGCAGCCGTATCCGTCAGCATGCGCCTGTGACGGGCCGTGCCGATCGGCACGGAAAGGTCAGCAGTCTGAAGCTTTGCGTGATAAGCGCCTGTTCAGGTGGCCAGTAGATAGTGAGAGTGAACGTGCCCCCCCCCCCCCCCGCAGCCTGGGTCTAAGCGGATGTTGTTCTGTTGGGCCGTGGAGAGCAGAGCGGAAGGTTCTGGCAGCCGATGCGACATCCCGCCTCCAGGAGCTTTCGGCGCCACCCGCTATCTCATCTCACGCCAGCCCAACACCGTTTAGTCCTGCCAAGCAGTCGGCCCCTGCTGCCTCTGTCCAGGGCATCCCAGGGACCCTCTGGCCGCTCCTCTAAGAGAGGGGGGCAGGGAGAGAGGGGGGCAGAGAGAGAGGGGGGCAGGGAGAGAGGGGGGCAGGGAGCTGCATCTGTGCCTGTGGGTGAGTATATTTTACATTGTGGGGACCAGTTTTCCCCACAAACCAGTTATTTTGACATTGCGTGACTGACGCACAAGGGGAAACTCAATTTTATAAAAAATCAATTTTATAAAAATCTGTGACTGCAATCAAGAAACTCAAACAGCTACAAGTCTTGTATTTTATTTGATTACTTATGGTTAAGGTTAGGGTTGGGTTGGGGTTTAATTCGTCATTGCTGGAATTAGGGTTTTTCCCATAGAAAGACGATTCCCTCAACGATTGGAATACAGACATGCGTGCGTGTGTGTGTGTGTGCGTGTGTGTGTGTGTGTGTGTGTGTGATGGACACAGTGCTCTGTTTAACTGCTCAGAGGGACCCAGAAGGCATCAATAATTCAGAAGCCGACGCCGGTTTATTGAATAAGGTTAACTAGGGGAAAGTGAAAGACAGGTACAGGCGGATACAGATGGAGCGGAGCGCCCGTCCCGTCACTGTCTGCGTCCCGTACACATTCCTCCACGTCTGATGTGGTGTTGAGTCGCACACAACCGGGGGGAAGAAAGCCCTAGAGCCAGGCCCAGTGAGGCTGGCGGGGGGTGAGGCGATGAAGGGCCTGGAGCGGGTACCCGCAGACTGGCTTGCCTCCCGGGGGGGCACGCTGTAGTACGCTTAAATGGGCTACTTAACCTGGATTTCTCTGGTAAAACATCCGAGTGCACAAATGGGCCAGAGGCTGCGTGGTGCTGAAAAAAGGAGAAGGACGAGGTGTGTGACTAAACACCAGTCCCTGCTGGAGCACCGGGAAAGGGGGGGGCACGAGTCAGAGTCATGTGACGGGTGGAGGCCGAATGAGGGCCCAGGCGGCGGACTGCGAGCTGACCCACTTCTGAGAAAGTTCTCTCACTCTTCGAGGAGCCTAGTCACCTGTTGGGCTTGCATTCGGCCCACTCTCCAGAAAGGCCGGGGGGTGGGGTAGAGCCCCGGTCCGGCGCCGTGGCGACCCAGTTTCCCTCCATCTGCAAGGAGCATGCAGTGTTTGGTGTAGGGGGCGCTGTGCCGCAGGAAGCCAGTGCGAGAGCAGGTTTAAGGAAACGAAACATGGTGTGATGTGGCTTTTCTGCTTTTGATAAAAGGTTTGGAAACCTTTGGAAACATTTTTTTCCTGTTGAGTGGT